TATTATGATAATAAACTTTTTAATTATATTTTCTAAATAATTCAATTCAAAACTATTTATTTCATACTGAAATAGCAGATTCTTTTATATATTTTTCAAATATATAAATTATATAGTATTACTAGTTAATACTTTCTAAATATATATCAATATTTTAAATTATAAAGAGCTATAATTTATTTAATATATTAAAATACTAGTATTTTTCAAAATATTGATATAAGTATAATATTGGAATTCAGAATATATTGATATTTTGCTAATATTTAAAATATTAATATTTTATTAATTTTTAAATATTAGTATTTTATTAATATTTTATTATTTTATTAGAAATTAAAAAGAATCTTTAACTATATTATTTTATTAAGTATATAGATAATATATAAATCAAAAATATAGATCTCAAATTAAGAAAATAAGATATAATATTTAAAATAGAAATATGATTATAAAAAATAAATATAATAAAAAATAAATATAATAAAAAAAATATATGTGATTATATAAAAATAAGAATAATTATAGAATAAATTATAAAATTATAGAAAAATAAAATTTCACATAATCAAAAAAAGATTATGAAATTAAAGAATTTTATATTATTATAGTAATATATAGTTTTTCTTTAAAAAATTTTTGCTCCTGCAAAAATTAAGTAATAATTTTCAATTTTTTTTTCTATTCAAATGACATAACTTAAATAACATAAAGTTAAATCAATTATTAAATACTTCTTTTTCAGACTGATAAATGAGAAAGATCTTTTGAATAATATTATATAATCTATTATATATATATTTTTCAAAAGAGTTTTTAATTTTTTTTTAAATTTTAATATATTTCTTAAATATTTATATAGTTGAGTTGAAAATAAATATCCAAGTTTATAATACTAAGTTATCATATTATTATTGTTTAGTAAGTTATTATAAATTGAAAATACTATTTCTTCAAGATTAGTCAGCCAATCTTTTTTATAAGTAAATTTAATTTCTTCAGATATAATAATAATAGATAATTCAGATTTTTCTTCAGAAGTAGTTGAATTATCAGAATTTATGAATTCTATTTCTTTTTTAGTATCTTCTTCAATTTTAGTTTCAGATTTGTCTTTTAGAAAAGTGATAATAAATATATTTAATTAGTCAAAATCTAATTTAGTAGTCATATTAACTAGTTTTAAAGATACTTCAATTAGTTCAACTGTCATTTGTGATTTCAAGAGAAAAATATTATCTACTTTAATATCTTTGATAAATCCAAATTATATGAGTAAATTCAAAAGAGAAATATAAATTTCTTATCCTGCACTATCATAAGCAAGAAGTCTAAAGATTAAAAAAGTAATTATTTCAAAGAGTTGTTGAGCAAGGATTTCTTGATATATTTCTCCAAGAGATTTAATAATTTGAGATATAATCCAAGTGAATAATTGAGATTTGATAGAATAATAAAAGTGATAAATATAAAAGAATTTAAAAAAAGTATAAGATAATAAAAGTAAAAAAGTATTCAATAAAAAGTGAAAAATATGGAAAAGATAAGAAGATGAGAGGGGATATTTATATAAATTCTGAACTAATAGTCAATTATAAATATAATATCAATATTAAAAGTTTTGCAAAAAATAAATATAAAAGAAGAATAAATGTGATAGAAGATAATTTCAAAGATAGATATTACAAAAATTAAGGGAAGATCCATGTGAATTACTCAATAATAATTTGTGGTTCAAAATAATCTTGGTGATCATGATAATATTTGAGTTATCTTTTATTAATAGAATATTTGAGAACATTTCCATTCTGAGTATGAAGTTTGTGAGAGTTATATCCAGTACATTTATGAATATAATATCATTCTTTACTCCAAGTAGGTTAAAATTTGTCTCCAATTATTAAGTATTGCTTCATATCAAATAGTAATACTTTGTTTCTAATTTTGAATTTTGTTTCTTTTTGAATTTTGTTTCTTTTTGAATTTTTTTATTATATCTTTGAGAATATTGTAATTGTCTATCTTCTATATTTGTTTTGCTTCTATAATTTGTTGGGGTAACTGATCCATTGTGTAATATATTTGTTGTATTAATTTTTCTTTTTCTGTGAAATCTTCTTAGGAATTTTTAATTCAATTGATAGTCTAGCATTTCATCCATAAGTTAAGAAAAATGGTTCATACCTTTCACAAAAGTCAATTTTGATGCTCCTCCAAGCAATTTGTAGTTTTTCCCACAAATTAGTTTTATTTAAAAGTGAACCAGGAAGATTCCGCAAGCATGTATCAACTTCGTTCCATAAATTTTCGATTGGATTTAAGTCAAGGGACTGGGCGGGCCAATCAAGCAAAGTGATGTCGTTATTCCGAACCATCGCTTGGCTTTTCCAGAGGTATGTTTTGGGTTGTTGCCTTGCTGAAATAAGAAATTACTATCTTCTAGCATTTTCTCATAAATTGTGTCTAAAAAATTGGTATTTAATATATCGACGTAGACATCAGCGTCCATTTTGCCATCGATTTTTCAGAGTTCACCAACTCCATTGGCAGTTAGGTAAATCCAAACCATAATGGAACCTCCACCAAATTTTACGGTTGGAGTAATATGGTGGTCTTTTAATTGTTCACCAGGCTTCTTCCAAATGGTACTGCGTCCGTCCGACCCAAATAATTGGAACTTGCTTTCATCAGATCAAATTATTTTCCGCCGGTCGTCGACAGCCCAATTTCGTCATTTTTTTGCCCATTCTAGTCAGAGTTTTTTGTGTGTTTTTTTTAAGTAATGGCTTTTTTCGTTTAATCCTTGCGAATAAACAATTTCTTCTAAACATACGCCGTATGCTTTCCATGAAATTTCGACTCCCAGTTCAGCTTGGAGCTCATGTTGAACTTGGACGGCGATAGTGCATTTTCTAGATGATATTAATCGGATGGCATTCCGCTCGTAACGATCTGAAAGAATGCGTGGACGACCGGGTTTTGGTTTATCTTCAAAGTTTCCAGCTTCTTCTTTGTTTTTACAGATGCGTTGGATTGAAGCTAAGCCCACATGTTCCGATAATGCAATTTCCCGGACCGAATATCCTTCTTGTCGGAGAGTGTATATTTGTGAGCATTTTTCTAGTGAAATGCGAGGCATTTTGAAATTAAAAAATGGTTAGAATTATTGTTTAGAATAATGATAGTGTTCTATAGATATTGTAGTGGAAAAAGAGTACTTTTATACTTATCTTTATAGGCCTGAACTTTTTTGTTCGAATCGGCCATATTACATGGAACGTTAAGAAAATTTAAAAAAATCATTAGCTTGTGAAGTAAAAGATAAATGAAAATAAAATATGCAATAAATGATTGTGATTATTTCAATGAATAAAATCCACTTTCTTTTGGTCTTTGATAATTCTTCAATGGCGAGGTATTCGAACCTCGCCATTTTTTTTGTGTTCCATTTCTTTAGTGAGTCGCTGTATCTTCAATGGTACTAGAAAATAAGAATTCAAAATTCATTTAATCTAAATTTTCGGATTGACTCGAACTGGTTGAAGAGATACTGTAGTTCATACATAATTTTGATAGAAAGAATCGTGTTAAAATAAAATTTGTAATGAATCATACGTGTTTCTTTTAATTTAAAGTTTTTACATTAGTGGTGTGGTGGAAGGGTGACAATAATTCTTCTAATTTGTTAAATTCCTCATCCTTTCGATACAGGATATCGAAATTGGAATCGAATTTTGTTTTGTTCTAATAAATTTTTCTACTGTTACATAATTTTAAAAGGATAGATATTCTTTTTGATCGGTTAATTTTTGGCTGAAGGTGATTTTTTAGACTCTCCAGATTCTCATTTTCAGGTTGTAGAGATTTGTTTAATATACTCACTTAAAAGAATTCTTCGTATTTGTTCATTGTCCGTTGTCAAAGACATTTTACAATGACAGACAAGGACAGATAACCATGTCAATGCCATCCCATTTTAGTTGGGTAATGTATGCCATTTCTTCATCATATTTATTTAGGACCACACAGCGTTTCTGAATGATTGTATTGAGATTATATAGAGATTGAATTGAGAATGCACTAAACTTTATGAAAAATTTTGCTCCCTGAAAATGGCAAGGATTTCGTTGGATAACTCTTCACATAAAAAATAATCATACCTTCTGGTACGGCTTCGAAATACTATTGTTTTAAAAAGTTCAAATTAAATTGTTACAAATTATATTGTTAAATCGTATTGTCCTTAAGAGGATGATATTGTCAATATTTTGTATTCAATTAGCATTTAAATTCCGTCGTCGCTATTGTCGTATTATAACTTCATGATATATTATCATCTTTTCCTATAAGTCATTCAGAAAATGCCGAAGAAATGCGAACATACATGAAAGAATTAAATGGGATGATTTAAGTATGACTATCCGTCCTTGGTAAAAGGTCTTTGACAAACAAATACTTTTAGGCGAGTAATATTTTCGCAGAATTTAACACCTACGTATTATTAAACATTTTTATTTTTCTTTTACTTATTTAAAATCCGATATTTATCTTTATCGTTATTGTTATGTATCGTTATTGTTATGTATCGTTATTGTTTAGAAATCACAGCCACGCGAAAATAAAGTGACCAGCATGTTTGATCAATGCATAAAAATTTTACGAAACCAATAGGAATGTAGCAAATTTTTGATTAACTCGACAAAACAAATCCGGCAGCAATAAACGTCGTCGGTCGGGAAGACAATTTTACATATATACAGTACATAACCTTTCCTCTGATCCTAACTACCTTTAATACGCTCAACCAATCAAAAACTTAGTGAATGCTATAACAAGGCATGGACGTGGATATTTGTCCAACTATGTGTCTTGTAATGATTTCTCAAAACTATGTATGCTCTTACTGCCAATATTTATATTTGATGCAAATACCCATTATCAATATTTAGTTTCTGGTCTTTTATAGTTGTTTGGAACTGTGAATGAAATAATCTTCGGATTCACTCGTAACCATTGTCAGTGTAAAAGCATATTCCACCACCTAACGTTAAAATCGAAATTCTGATTAATTGTCTAACGAGTGATATGAAGAAACATGTATATTTTTAGCATAAAAGATAACGTGTAAAAATAAAGGCAGAACCATCTTTGTTATTTTAGGTGAGATGTATTGATTTTGATTATTCTAGATCTTTAAATCGAATTTTTTTATAATTTGTGGAGTTGCAAGGGAGAGAATGCATGGCCCCTAGACCATCAATGTGCATCCTTAATCTTTGGCTCCGATTTATTACTATTTTCTAGTGAATACATTTAATCTATTCTAACATATTTAGTTTGATAAGATGTATTTCAATTTTTTTTGACATCAAAAAATTTTAGGTGAGTAAAAAAATTCAGTACTCATTTTTTCAAAAATGGAAATGTGATAATAAAGCTTCACCTTCACCAAGTTTAGTTTGATAAGGTGTATTTCATTTTTTTTCACCAAAAAATTTTAAGATAAGATATATTTCATTTTAAGAAAATTTCGCCGTCGTATTCTTGAGTAAAAAATTAAGTACTCATTTTTTCAAAAAATACTTTTTTTAAACCAAATAAAAATTTCGAGTCTTTTAAAAATAAAACAGATACATAATATATATGCAGTATGATTGGTAAAAATGACTACAGTAATTATGTATTGTACGAAATACCAATAAAATTTGTTACAAAAACAATACCACCACCAAATAATACCAAATACTAAACGCTAATACTAATAAAATTGTATCAAAATACACATTAAAGATATATTGACGGTATTATATGTTTTTTTCATGTATAATTTATATAAGTTAACATTTTTCATGAGTTCAACGAAACAACAAAAAAAAACACATTTATTGAAAGATAAATTTAATAATCAATAGTATCGCCTATACTCTCTATTACTAGCATACATCTTTCGTTTCATTGATTTTAATAAACTCTCTAATGTATCATTTGGAATTAAATTCCCATTTCTCCTTCATAAATGATTTTAAATGAGCCAAATTTTTTGGTTTTCTTTTTTCTTTGACTATATCGATATTGATATGGCCGATCAATAACTTCGGATTCATTCGATTCGAGGTAAGCTGCACTACTAATTCCATTGTTAAAATTTTTTGAGTAATTATATATTAATGATAATGATTTGGAATGTTAAATAAGTGCCAAAGATCAACTTTTGTTATAACGAGATATTTGTTTTATTTTATTTCTTTTGAATGAGTTTGTAAATAATGATAATGATAACTCCATCATTATCGTTATATTAGTTCTCTAGAATTTATTTTTTGCGAAAAATAATAGCAATAAACACAATTATAATAAATTATTATATTGCAATTTAAAATTAGATCCAACGACTTATCCAAACATGTAACAAATGATTAGTAGCATCATTATCACCTTCATCCTCAATTTCCCAATACTTGTATCGCAGCCTTTCTAAAAGCTCGCCTACCTGCAACCTTCGCGTCTCTGCCCCTTCTCCCTTAAAAAAGCAACGCTGCCTTGCAATAAATAATGTTTATCGATATATATCAATATGTTTACTCGCATGTGAAATGACTTGCAAATCCGGATCAAATCAACCCAGATCAGTCTGAATTGACTCGATCCGAATTGCACTACCCGGCTTTAGTGTTCCCCCTTTTTTTAAGGGTAGTTTCTCATGTAATTGAGATCTACAGTGTTAAAAAGAATACGCGATGATGATTGATTGTCAACCAAATAAGTTTGTGGAGATAAACTATTTCCCTTTGGATTTCCAAGAACAAGTATATAGTAAAATTACTAGCTATTTACGGTGGCATGCAAAAATAAACGCACCACTTGCATTGTCGATCTTTAATCACACAATTCTCAATCACGAAAGATCCCTTATCGTCATCCAAATGCTCACATAATGATAAAATAATTTATTATAAATTTGCCAAAAAGTCAATACAAATCTTATCTCGCTAATAGTCAACCTAGACACATGTAAAATCTAACAATATCTAAAAAAAATGAGTTCTGCAAATTTTTAATCCAATTGGTCCCGCCAAGAAAAATGAAAACCCAAAGATCATAAAGGTTTCAAAGCACCAACTGCTTTGCCAAGTTATGAATTCATGAAACTGAATTTGATCAACAATTCGAAAAAGAATCGTTTCTTATTTTTTACCCTTTCTTGATCGAGTTTTAAAGAGATCAAATATTTTATTCAAGCAACTTCCGCTGCTCGACGACTCTTTCTCGTCATCTTGGTTGATGGTGGTGGTGGTGTGGGTGGTGGGAGTGGTGGTGTTGGTGGTGTCGATGGTGGTGGGAGTAGGCTTGGCGTTGTCGCTTTTTATTCTCTTATTACTTTCCTCAATGTCCTCTTCCTTTGCTTCAATTTCGATTGGTCTTTTTGTTCCGTGCATGTTGGTGTACGTGGGAATGATGGTGGTAGTGGTGTTATTATTCACTTCTCTAATCGCGGTTCTTATTTCATCTATTAAACTATTTTCAATTACTAAAAACCGACTTAACCTCGATTGTAGTTGTGCTTGATTTCGGTAAGTATCATATTCAAGAAGCTCTTTCATAAACGTTCTCGATCTTTAACTAAATTTTCTTTAACAGCACTTTGTTCGATGGTTTCATTTTTATCTAAAAGAATACGAATTGCTTGATTTAATAATGATTGTGTTATATGTCTTTTTACGAGTTTTAAAAATAACTCGATACTGATGAACATTATTAAAAAATGGTTACACACGTGATACTTTCTGTGGGTACTGTACATGTCATGTTCATTACATGCAAACTTAATACATGTACATGATCTGAACCTATTCGTTGTGGTTAGGATATTTCAATCCGCCAATGGTTAATCTAATAAAAATTCAATATTAGATCAAAAAAATAACCATATTAACTTATTTCAAGTGATTTCTGATTCAACCTACCCAGCTATCAATTATTTCAGCAATATTCAATGATATCTTTGTTCATGTTCTTTACACTAAATTTAATTCTCAAAAAAATCTATATTATCAATTACTGCTATGTTTCCATATATTATTACCTTTCCATAATCTATGTTCTGGTTGTATTTCTTAATTCAATTTTTTTCTAATTGTTGCTCATAATATTGTGTATGAGATACAATATTTGCTGTATCTTAATTAGTCCGATGATTTGGTCTTTCATGGAGATTTTTTAAATTAATAGTCACCTGCCTTTTTCTATTTTATATTCACTAAAAATTTGTTGACGTTTATCTTGTAGATTAATAGAATGAATTTCAACAAGTGTTAAACAATGTTATATTTCAAAATTATATATATAAAGTGAGTTAAGTTAGCATGCCGACGGCCGCTGATGAGATACACGAAGGTATTGCTCATATGGAACCGGTTTACCCCAACGTAACCAGAAAAAATTTCACGGTGCTTTGAATTAAGAGGTAAACAATTCAAATCGCAAAACATGTGAAAGTAAGGGTTAGGATCGGTGTTGAGGATATATTTTGCGTGCGATAATAAATTTTCGCAAGGAACATTTTTTGTTTAAAAAATGATAAACGTTTGTTTTGATTTTTTCATTACACGATTTGATTTGGTTTCCCCTTAAAAAATCACATGATGTTATTCAATATCCGATCCTCCGACGCTTTTTCTGGCCACGCTGGGGTAATCGAAAATTCAAAATGTGCACAATTATGATTTTTAAAATTGTCGCATAATTATAAAAAAACTATGTCATTAAACATGAATATTCTTTTTAATAGTGCTCTATGTTAGAGTTTGATATCTGTTTTCCGTATTTTTTTTCTGCGCAATATTTTGTTTTGCGATTGATCAAAAATTCGCGCATCCTTATTGGTCTGTGAAGTTACATGTGATCAGGAACCGAGCACGGTTATAAATATCGGGATGGTCACTGTCAGATCGGAGTCAGTTCGGAAGCATATGATCTGAATCTATTCGCCGTGATTAGGGTATCTCGATCCGCCGATGTCTATCAAATCACTCAACAGCATCCTATGCTTATTATAATCACAGATTAAAAGTTATCTAAAGACAATATTTTGTATGTTTATTGGTGAGAACATCAATTGCTCAGTTTCGCAGTCTCATCGTGGATCAGGATACTACATGTATTAGCGTAATTAAAGAAAGCTTTAAAAAACACTTTTAATTAGTGTAGGGACGGTCATCTCTTTTAATATTATTCAAGGTAGAGACCACCCGATGGCTTAACCCAGGATCGACTAGGTTGATCCGGTTACCCGGTAGCTCGTTTTTATTTTTTTCAATGACCACTGTTGATTTAATAATGAAATCTTTCCCGTTTATTTGGTTCTTCCGATACGTTTTCCGTAGGACGTTTATTGTTCGTATTATGACCTTTGAAAGTGTTAAAAAATCAAATGTTATAGAAGTTGACGACATCATATTTTGAGATTAAATTTTTAGTTCCATCAATATTGACACTACGTAGCTATTTATTCATTTACTTCGTTTTGAACTGATAAACTAACATCGATATCATATTCAGTAGATTCTAAAAACACATGTGAAGAAATATTTTTAATTTAGAAACTTATTATTTTAATAAAGACAACATCCCGTATATAACGATAATGATTTTACCTTCATATGGGATATACAAACTGACACTTTTAGAACCTACTTTTCGATATAAATTTATAATCAATTTGAAAGGTTAATTTACATCTAGAAACAAAGCGTGACGTTACCTGTATAAGTTGGGATTGATATTAATTTTAAAGCAAAGGTTCGACTAGTGTAAATTGCATTTGAGTGGATTTGTTGTTTTTTGTTTTTATTTGTAGGAATACTTTTTTGTAATTTCATCTCATTCCATTTCTGTTCCTCTACTTTAACACACTCTTTGATTTCTTCTTCTGTTTTAGGACATTCTAAAGAGCTGTAGTACTGAAAATGCAATGAATTCATTTTCCAATCACTTCCATAGTCGATGATAGACTGAATAAAGTCTTCAAGTTCCTCAGCAGTTGGTCTGTTTTCTGGAATAGGATCCCAACATTTTTCAATAATAAATTTGCACCATCCGGGAATATTATTTGATATCGTAGGTCGTATTCCTTTATAGATGTCGGATACAAGGTGTATATCATGACTTCGTTCACCAAATGGTCGTTCGCCTGTTACAATCTCGTATATAACCATCCCAAAACTATAAATATCTGCAGCTTGCGTGTATGGCTTTCCATTTAGCACCTCTGGACTAATATATGGAAGTACGCCATATATTTTTCGATTAGATTTTTCTATATTTACCGGGACAGTAAGTCCAAAATCGACGATTCGAACGTCATACAATTTTAATATATTTCCAGGATGTAGGTCTTTGTGCACAAATTTCATTTCGTGGGTCAATATCAGATCACTGTTAATATCAGACATGTAACTTAATTTTTGTTCCCAAGATATATTCTCATATTCGGAACTAATAAATTTGCGTAGGTCACCATCTACTGCGAATTCCATCACTAAAAAATATTCATTTTTTGCCGGGTTTCCAGTTATTCCATAAAATCCTCTATTACTGCACTTTATACTAGCCTGAATCTATTATTCAAAAAATTTGCATTAGAAAACAAATAACTATTATTCTTACTTTAGAAATGGTTCATTTACCTCCTTTGCATATTCTATTTCATCTAATGATTTTAACACAACTTCTTCCATAGGTCGTTCAAATTTATTTTCTTCATGATCCCACTTTTCAAATGGTCCATCCAACCAGCGTGCTATATAAACTGTTCTAAAACCTCCTTTGGCAAGAATTTCAATACCTTCAAGTCTTTCGAAAGGGATCCATTGGAAAAAATTAGATTTGTAATCTTTATTGCAATCTTTTATTAGGTTATCGATATATTTATTCCCGCTAGACCATTCGGCTTCATAGTTTTGATAGTGATTCTCAAAGCATTCGGCGCAGAACTCGTTTTTTAAGCAATCATCACATTCACTACAATGAGATTCTATGGTAATGCTCATTTTTATTCGAAATTTATGCGTTTATATTGTGACTGATTGATGATCTTATCGTTAGTATATGATATGGAACAAACCTATCTCTGTATTTATAATTAATACCAATTCGTTCGTTAATATATTGTATTGAATATCGCGCGCGATTACATGTATTTCAAATCTTATGTGTATTATGCATTTAACCAACAAATACGCCCAATTTGTAGCAATTATCATTCATTTAGAAAACAACATGAATGAAAACGCCCAACGGCGGCGCAGCGCTTACAAAACCACGGCATGTAATAAGATGGATTCATTCATGATCAGAAACTTTTTCGTGCAACCCAATGTTCAACGCACAAAATTATGATTTTGAATCATGCCGGAAAACTAAACAGTGATGTGGATCAAAAAATATTGGAGAGATATAACATAGAGAAAAAAATCCAATTAAAATAGGGACTGACAAATACAAAATAACTTGTTCATTTAGCCAATGGAGAACTGTCTTTCCATTAGACGCATCCGAACCAGTGTTGGGTCCAGTAACTTTTTGGGTTTCATTCGGATTTATAGAATTATTAAGACCAGTGGTCCGAACATATGTTTACATGAAACGTAGGTCTTTATCAATTAGTAATAGAAAAAGGTAAATAAATGTATCCTGACGCCAGTGGAATTTCTAGATGGAATTAGAAGTTTGTGCCTATTCACCCGAAACGCCAGGAACAGTTACGGAGTAAATTATATGAAGTAAATTTTTTGGATCTGCACCTCTATTTAACAATTATAAAAATAGACTAATCTTTTTTCAGTAATATCCAATAGTTTTTTATTTATAAAGGAATATTCTTTTTAAAAGATGTCTTTACATAGTGACAATGTTAGAAATTTATTTTACTACATATTAAACTCAAACTGCTTTTTTAATATATAGAAAATCATAGCCATTTTTCTATAATAAAATGCATAAGCAGTTATCTCTCAATATACAGTATTCATGAAAAGTTTTTGAATTTATTTTTTCAAAAATAATACCGATCCAAATTCGCCTCTCAATATTTAGATATATTGCCCGAATAGTGTTTTATTTTACTCGAAAAAGTAAAAACTGTATCCTAATCATTGTCATGTTTCTATTAAATGTTGCGCACTATTAAAATTTAGCAAGTAATAATATTTAACTATTGAAAAAGAACTTTTTTCAAGTTTATTTTCCAAGATATATAAATTTCACTAATTCTCTCTAGAATTTACGCGTATCTGAATCAAATTTACCTTATTGTAAACAATAAATAAAACAAAAATATAAAAAGATAAATAAAGTCATATTTAAACCATATTTATTTAAAAATTATGGCCGATTAAAGCCACCTTAAAAATATTTGAAGCTTGCGAAAATGTGAAGTATTACAGGAGATTGAAAATGATTTTCAGAAAGCATTTGACTATCTAAATGATGCCGATTTCATTTCTACAATAAATCAAATTTTGAATCTCGGGAAATGAACATTCGCATTCAAAGAAAACTTATTGATTTATTTATATAAATTTGCAACTTACCCAACCAACAAATCTTTGATTCGTTTACACTTTTTTAATCAATAGTTTATCTCCGAGAAATTCATAAAAGAGAAATTATTTCCACCTATCTACAAAAAAAGACATATGAGTTTATTTGATATTAGCATTTATAAACATGATCATACTACCAATGCATTAGCATTAGAATCCCTGATCTCAAAAATTCGAGTCGCTATTCGTAAGGCAAAGCAGATTCAACCTGCTCAATTTCAATATGCAGCTAATAAAGCATTTAAAGTTAATGTCAAAGAAGATAAAGCTATTTATCAATCTTTAACTGGAGAGACATCACAGCATTGGGTAACAACAACTAATTTATCATAATGGTATAATGAAATGATACTCTTGTCTTTTAATCAAAATCACCCTGAAGAAACTTCTAGATTTTTTGGTTATGGTGTGATGGCTAATGAAAGTACACGGGAGAAACAAAAGTGTTAATTGTTTGAGACAGTGGATATTATTTTCATAAATTTCTTTAATTTATTATTTTTCTTGGTGATAAAAAACAGATTTTGTTATTAGTATACCACACGAAATCGAAGAGAATGAGGATGTGACGAGTGAATTGCAAGAAAAAACTAAGATAACTGATCTTAACACGAGCCAAAAATTATTTCAATTTTGTACTCTTATCAAATTCCTAGATATATAGTTACAAAACGAATGAATCATTGAAAAGTCATCACCGTCATTGTTGATTATTTCGACCATGCGAAATTACTTTTCTACTTTAAATTTTTCATTTATAGATAGTTTTAGTTTTATATTACGCACATCTTTTTTTCTATGAATTTTTCTAGAGATGCGATAAACACAAATAAATGTCTTAATTTTTCGTAGTTGGGAATTAATATCGATATATACAGTATATTTAAGCTCATTAAATGTATCGGTATCAACGAATATTCATTCGTTGCTGGTTTTCAGTTATTCCGTAATGATAATAATTAAAAAGACAACATTAAGAGCGGTTTAATCTTTTGTTGAAAAACATGATTATATTTAAAAAAGCAAATTCACTTTTGAAAGTGTTCATTTTTACCTCTTTTATAAAATCCGGAATCGTTTGGATTGACACAACTTCCCTTACCGCATAAAATAATTTTTTTCATGATTCCAAATAATCCTTTTTTTAATCTTGAATAATTCTTTTATTTGATTAACGATATCATTATCTCCGCTAGACAATTCAAATTTATAAACTCGCTTGTGATTTCTATCGTTAAAATATCCCAACAGTATTTATGTTTTTTGGCATTTATAACATTTACTACAATCATGAATATTGAGTTCCATCTTCTGGATTCCCTTCATCGTTCACATTCACAACTGTGACCTTCTCCGGTACTTTCTGTTTTACTCACAATGGTCAGAGCTATTATTTTCACAATATCCTCTCCTTGTAATTTTTCTTTTAATTTCTTCTTTTTTCTTTTATCATTCTGTACTTTTTCCAATTTTTCCGTCAGCACTAAGCCCTCGCGACTAATTCTCGCTAGCTGCACTTCTATTCCCATTATTTGGGTATTTGTCCTTTCAAACTTGTTAACTTGCTGTCATACACCGACTTTTTTTCTGGACTAGGTAGGATTTCCTTAATATTTTTATGCGATTATATCGGTATATAAACACGGATGTTTGAAATGACAATGATATTAAAACAACGAGAAAAAGTTATCATTATTATACATGTACATGTATAAATGCAGTCAAAGCTGGTTACATTAACCGTAACATTGTCAGTTTACGACAAAATTTTTTAATAATAAACTATACTGACAAAAATTTTGACTTTCTTATACAACCACACTCCCCGATCAAAAGTACAAAATAAGATTACGCTAAAGCTATTGAGCATAAATATAAAAATGATGCGAAAATTTATTTTTAACCCTAAATCATCCAAACCGAAATATAAGTTGATATTACGGGAATCCCAAAAACGAATCTGTCACACATGTATTTTCATTTATTAATAAGTTACGTATTGCAACTAATTAATGCGTCGTGTATGTACTATGCAACTCGATAAAATATATACCACTGACGACGTACTGCGAAAAAGTACTGTGCACGTGGTTTCTTAAGGGTAAACCAATCAAATCGCAAGATATAAACAATAATAGTTAGGGTGGCCGTTAAGACTATATTACTTGTAAGCGTCTAGAGTTAAATCTACGCAAGGAAAATTTTTGTTAGAACATAGAAAGTAGTTCATAGGCAAAATTTCGAATTACAAGCTATTTTCCATTTGTTTTGAATTTTTCCATTTCATTCTTAAAGTCGGAAATATACGTAACTTATCGTTATAAAGCATACAATACTGTCAGTTTATTGTAGTACTAAATATACGTAACTTTTTGGATCATCGTTCGTACGTTTTATCGTAAGACGCTTTCATTTAAATGGGATCACCGGATTTTTGAGATCTGATTTGGGATTTTCCGGATAATGTAATACTAATCTGCGCAATTATTTGCATCTTGCGCAACGCGCAGATTTTTTCTAAAAATAGTTGCGCAACCAATCAGACTAATTTTTAAACCCAATTTAGCATAATTAAAATTGATACAACTAATCGAGCCATTGTCGTCATAGATATCATTTAGAAAACAGTCGTTCAAAATGAAATTGCCAAACAGGTAAAATATCAGCAACACAAATGAAGCGCCCAATGCCCAGTTCCTTGTGCACGTTTTCCTAAATTAGAAAACTCGCTTACTAACTTTTTATAATTTAGTCTGCCAAGAGCAGAAAGCCAACACAAAAATATGAAGAAAAGGCATTTGAGTGACATTTAAAATCAGCAGAAAATGATAATGCGATTGGATAATATAATCTTGGTTGTTGCTATCAATATACTATTGGAACACAAGAAATGAAGAAAAAGCGTTTGAATGGTATTTGAAATGGAGATGCGATGGGACAATATAGTCTCGGTTATTGTTATCGATATGCTATTGGAACACAAGAAAATGAAGTAAAAGCTTTTGAATGGTATTTGAAATCAGCAAAAAATGGTAATACAGGCGGACAATCTCGTTATTGTTATAAAATATGTTATTAGAACACAAGAAAGATCTAGAAATATCATTTGAATGGTATACGAAATCAGCAGAGAAACACGATTTAAATATTTATTAGCTTAATTATTTGTATGATATAGGATATGAAACAATTAGAGATACAAATAAAACCTTTATATATTTCCAAAAGGGACTGGCACATTGGAAAATAAATGCAAACCATTTAAAATGTATTTGAAATTTAAATTAGCTAAATGCTATCGATATGGATTTGGAATTGAAACAAAATCCTGAAATAGCTTTAAAATGGTATAAAAAAGCTCGAGAAAATAGTCATGATATAGCAGGGGAAATGGTCGAGACATTTAATTTTGAGCGTCAGTATTCTATCTTCTAATTAACGTTTATTCCTTCGATAATTAAATGATTCGACTTGAGAACGCCTATTCTATAAAGTATCTATTTCTGGAAAATATGTTGAATTTTTATTATTTTATTATATTTGTGATATTCTGAATACGTAGCTTTAAATTTAAAATTAACGTTATTGTATTTAAATCATGGCTTCTAAATTTATCGAAAGCTTAAATGTACATGTATTTTGCTTTTTATATAGATTGTCATATTTCTAAAGCTTTGATTTTTCATTTAAAGAGAGAAAAAATTAATTAATTAGCTGCTAACTTTCTTTTATATTAAAAGACCACATATTTCAAATCATTAAATTCATAAAATTAATGAATTAATTTTCATATCATTTTGTTATTCTTCATATAACATTCTAAATGTTGCGTCTTGCTGACATGCATATGTACGTAATGACTGTGTTGTATGACGGACAACTTGGAAGCATGTTAAACTTACACCTTGCTGTACAATGTTAATGTTAATGTGAATAAATTACAGATAAGCATTTAGCATTCTACATAATCAGCATCTTACATAACTTAAATATATGTAATTAACACTGTAGTCAAAGCCTTAGCAATACATGCATTGGTATTTGCGGAGCTCATAATATTTAACATCTTACAGAATACACTTTAGAACAGTCTGCCTATTTTTAAAGCTATATGCATCAGTAAACAAAATGGCTCATTTTTAATTGCTCATAACTTGTGTGATTTGTCTTTGAACCATATAATAATCATATATTGCTTTAATTAATGATTCTATCTGTTCTAATAAAGTGATGTCCTAGAACATCCTCTTGTAAATATTCGAAATTAATAAATTTTTCAAATAAAATGCACTCGTAATCCGAACTGAATTGCGCATTCTTTTATAGGCTGTAAATCTCTCTATTTTCGCTGGAACATTCAGCTTTATAAAGTTGAAGGTGATTATAATTACGAAAAAAATTTTAGATTTGACCTTTACGTTGATTATATGTATATTAAAATTTGAAATGATAGCAAAAATGAAATAAAAATGATTTATATAAATATATTATTTTATTCATGTTTTTAAGTAAATTTCTGCGATTATGTGAGCATCCAATAAGTTTCGTGAAAAAGCATAATTAAGTTGAAATTTGTGATTGAATTGGAGCTGGAACGAAAACCAACATAGCACGTGTTCACTTAAACGGTGAAAATTGTATAATATGCCCACACCATGTATTATAACAATCGCAAGCTACGAAATATTAAGGTTTCTAACTATTTAACACAAAGAACTTTAAAAAATAGGCAGTCATAATGCTTTTTTGGGATCACGTAAAATACTTCACGCAATACACGATGATTATCCTTTTTACAGGGGGGTATCAAAAGTATTGCACGCTTTTATTTTAGCAACAACAAAAAAATTTTATTAAGACAACAGTTAATTTTATTTTATATTTGGAATTAGTACTTTAGTATTTTGTATGTCCTCCATTAGCAGTGATCACAGCCTGAATTCTATTTGGCATTGATTGCACCAAGTCACAATATACTTTTTTCGGAATCGCTTCCCAAACATCTTTCGATTGTTTCTTGGAAGGTTCTTCTGATTCATAAGCTGCAAGATATCTTGTAATTGTCATTTGATGACATCCTATGACTTTTGCAATTTCTGTATTATTATGGTCTAATTTTTTGGCTGTAATAATGCTTTCCTTTTGTGCAGAAGTTAATTCTTTACCAAGACCTATTGCGCGAAAAATTGAAAATGATAGAAAATTTTAAATCACATTTTATGATCCATAAAAGATTAAATCAAAATAATAAACAACAATACATTTAAGTAATATATAGGCAAATATGGTATAAGAATCACATGGGCAGTTCCATATTAATAATTTTATTAAAT